TCCAACTCCTCCAATTCACGTTGCAAACGTCGTACTGCTTCATGGTCGCCTGTCTGCTCGGCAATTTCCTAAAAAAAAGATTGGATAAATAGTTAAATAACCAGGAAGTACGTTTCTAGAATGTTCTTTACTCATTTTATGTAAGATACATAGACAAGTGACATACTGTCATGCATCAGCTGTTGCGGAAGAAATAGAAAAATGTGAAGACTGATGTGAGCTAACAGGGGTAGATGGGCGAGACTAAAAAAGTGATAAGTAGAGGAAGCGCATGGATAGATGGCTTGTATTAGCATATAGATAGCAATGTTTGTCAGACATGGCCTATAACATTAGTCTTCCAATCAATCATCACACGCTTCAAATCGAATATTTCCTATTGAAACATCAGAAAAAAAGACGACAATTATTACACCATATACGGTTGACAACAAGCGCCTTCTACGCGTTGTTCGCGCCCCTTCACATCAACCGTGGCGCCTGTCGCTGTGCATGTATCAGCTGCCGTCACAATTAGAGCCATACTACTTCGACAGCCTTTACGGCAAGTTTCTTCCTGCCCATCACTTTTTCCTTCTCTTATCGCTCATCTTATGACATTTGAATGGACAGTTATAAAACGCGCAATTGATGTAAGGTTGCAATTTCTTCCCTTGCACTGTTGCCTTTGATCGTCTACAGCTAAGAAACGTGCGCTAAATAGCGAGAACCCAAAGAATACGGAGTCTACTTGTAATTAAAGAGAAGAAAACTCTCAGAATCTCAAATTCTTATCTCAGTTTTAGAAAGACCTTGAGAAGTACTTTTACGGTGATAAATAACCATCATTGGTATTTAGTCAATTCAACAGAGTTATAACCTTTTAAACTAGCCTTTGGCTAAAGCTAATCTTGTTTTCAAATGAGTTTTAATGAATATTGCTAATGAATCACCAAAGAACCGTAAATATTCAATCTTGGAACTAATTACTCCATCGCCTTAGTTCTCTTAGTCTAATCCCGTCCCAGAAATCACATTCTCCATTATCAGTGGAGCAGAAGAGAAAGCCCCTAGGAGCTTAACTTCAGCGCTAAAAAATTATCCTCTAACCTTTGTGTTTGAACCTGGATGAGAG